AAAAAACAAAGCTGTTAGATGTTTGGTCATCTGCTGGCAATCTGAGCTATTGATGTACAATATTTACAAAGAACGCAATCACATTTCTATAACACAAATTTTAGGATGGCAAAATGATCCGTTTTCATTACAATTATTTTTTCCCCAAAAAAGATTTGTTTAAAAGAAAATCCTCAAGCAAACAGTCCTCTGTATAATTTAATCAGTACAGAGAAAATTAATACAAAGTCCCTGCATGCAGACCTTGGGGAAATCTTGCTCTAAGAATGTACATCTTTTAAATTATATTTTTGTCCTCTTTCTATCTGTCTTTTGAAGTAACAGCAGCTGTCCCAAAGGATCTCCTAACTTTACAGACTGGCTTTTGAGGACACATATGATCCTGTGAATAAAGAGGCTTGTCAGTTTATACACATGGGAATTCCATCATCTAGTGCAAAGGGAACAGTGGAAAACTAAGGGAAACATTGTTTGGAGGGCTACAACCTAACTTAACCTGTTTCCACCAAAACATCATTTTAATTTCCAAAACTCTAAAGTGCATGGGGATGTTTTCACTATGTGGGGGGAAATTTAATGCCATTTTAGGTCTTTACTTAAAACATTGCTTTCATCCTGAGAGACAATTTGGGATCATTTTTTAAAGAACTGCAAAAAATTGAACCCGGGGTGGGGGGCACACAAATAGCTCTTGGAAACCACATGCAATTTGAAGGCTGAACCTTGTCCCCTCCCCATGTAATTTTCCACCAAGAGATTACTAATTCAAGTGTTTCTTTAAATATATAGAGACTGTGAAAAGTCAACATTTTATTATCACCAAAAAAATTTGCCCAAAAATCAGTTATAATCAACCAATTCAATCCAACTAATCTTCTCAAAAACAGAAAGAAAAGAGTCAGACATCTACTCAATACAAACAATCCTTTCTCTTTTTTACCTAAATGGCAAAGGAAATCTTTATTCATGAGACAACTGAACTTTTTCTTTTGATGGGAGGTAGCTATGTTAAACATACAAAATGAGCATGGTAACTAAAATCTATGTGCCTTTATGAATGAAAATCACCATATTTTACAAGATATACAGAGCATTACTCTGGTGCTATTAATGATCTTTTCACTTTCCTACCATCATTAAAAGATACAATTCCATCCTTGCTGAAGCCTCGTAAATTATCCTCCAAAAATAAATAAATAAATGGATGACTCAAACATTCTGAATCCTGGTGGGCTTTCAGTGATAATGTGTCCTCAAAGTGAGGACATTTTCATCCTAATAACTCTAAAAATGATAGAAAAAGGAGCATCAGGAGTTCCCTCATTGCCACCAATGGGCCAGATATTCCCGGAGCAAAAATGGAACTTCCAGCTGATGGATCAATAAATAGTATTGTCCCCTTCCAAATTCAGGCACCCCCCCCCAAAAAAAAAAAATAGAACAGGGGCATTCGAAAATCGAACACCAGAAATGGCACAGCGTTTTCTCGAATTGCTCACACCTACTATCAAGTCTTGGCTTTGTGACTGGATAATTATAACATGTTTCCAAAGTCAGAAAAGCAGTAGTCTTCTCTTGGTTTCTGCATACCTATACAAACTGGTGGGTTGGGCTGCCAGAAGTACCGATTTTCTACCTGAATGCAGGTTATTCGTTCATCTCCTTGCAATTCATAGCCAGGGTCACACTGAAAAATGACAGTGTCTCCAGGTTCTCTTCCATCTCCATTTCGAGTTCCATTCATGGGAACTCCTGGATCACGACATGCTGTGGCCACAGAACCTAGGAAGGGACAAATAAATGTATCCATTCTGATTCATATTAAGGTGAACATTTTTTAGCACATGACAAAAAGATAAAATATATGATTCACTTAAACAAGCAATGAACATACTCATATTTTGTCACAATTAATGAAGCATTTCAATCTTTGGAAGTGGCTCATAATCTGATAGTATGAATTGTCTGAGTGATCTATCAAAAAGTATTTTTTTTAAAAAAACTAGGAAAAAATTTAAGGTAATATACGTGGAAAATGGGTTTCCAGTGTTTTCGCTGGATATACCACAATACCACGTGGCATACCATGATGATAATTCTATAATTGTATCAACATTATATCCCTCTCTGGGCATAACCCAGTTCAGTTGAAATCAATACAAATGCTTAATTCATCTTCATAATGGCATTTATCCCAGTAGAAAATTTACACAAGTAATATTTAGCCATAAGTTCATCATTTTATCCCATTCTAGGTTAAGAATATAGGCTTCCATCAGGCAATCAAATATCATTTGTGGCAAAAGATCTGTTTTCCTTAAAATGAAATGTGACAAATTAAATCTCTTTTTTTTCCTTTCAGTTCATCAACACACTCATGCTTCTGGAGCTGCCAATACTAAAGCAAAATTAATTTTAGCTTTCAGTTAGTTGGTAGCATGTTTGCTTTCCAGTGAAATGCCACATAAAAATGTCAAGCAGTCACTTTAACTGAATAGGAGTTAACAAAAGATATCTCAAACAAAGGTTTGACTAAATAACAACTGGGTCACAAGTCACCAGCCAGCTGTTTGAAAACACCCTATTCATTGTTGTAGAAATTTGTATAGTAATCTTGCATTGTCAGAAATGCAGCTCTTCCTCTTTTTGCTTTTACCTGAATCATTGAACAAGGACCCATTGGACACCCATTGGTACCAATACTGTCTCTTCCAGAATTGAAGCAAATATCAGCGTAACAAATCACCCCATACATTCAGTCAAATTTGGCTCTCTTGTGTGTTATTTGCTTTTCACTTTTCTCCATCTCTACAATTGCTATTGTGTCACAACTATTTTATCATCAATTGTTTTAATTTTCCTTTTTATTTTATTATTGCTATTTTGTGTGTCAGACTCATTCTCCCATCCCCAACCTCTCTTTTGTTTTTGCATGTAGATACATTTCAGTTATTCATATCTGCTACTTTCTCAAACACTTCTTTAGTTGTTCCCCACCAAAACTATGTAAACCAAGTCTATATTTCACCAATGGTAATATGTCATATAGCACTACAATCCCACCTGCAATTCACTCTTACGTTCAGAAGACTCAATATTGTATTATTACTGTATTTATTACTCTCCTGCTTTATATATCTAAAAAGAGATTTGGAGAATCTCTCATACACATGTAACATGATTTTTGATTTGTCAGGATATGAATACTTTCCTATACATAGTCTTTCTTATCTCTTCAATGTGCCCTTCATACATGCTGGGAAACAAGCCAGAAGTAAACTTCTCTTTGTTTATTTTGAAACAATGTACTGATTTTGTGTATCATAACTCTTATAAAGATTGGCTGCACTGTTTCATTATATTTATAATATATTTTATGCCTTTTGTGCATTTTAATTGCATCATCTATATTTTATTGTTGGCTTTATTATATCACTATTCTTTTTTTAGAAGTTTTTATTTAAGAAATATTGCAATTTTACAACGATGGCAACTTCCATAATAATAATGTAATAGTATAATGAATATAAGCATAACATAAATGTGATGAATGGGTCACACACTTTAATTAACTTTTCATTAATCTATTTTCTATAACTCATCCTAAATATAATCGTATGTTTTCAAATTACTTTCCTCTGCTATTGGAGGAACAGTTCAAAAAGAAAGAAGCTTGGATAAAATATGAATATTTACTGAGATTATCCTGCAAAACAGTAAGTTTTTGAATTTAGACCGTCTAAAAATCCTTTGATATTTTGTCTATTAAAGGTTGAGCAATACCCACAGTTAGATAAATCCCCAAGTATTTTACATTACTTAAGACTTCTGTACTCAATTGAAAATAAATGTTTAGTTCTTTCTAACAAATTCATATCAGTGTACATTTCTCCATGTCATATTGATTTTTGATGATAGCAATGAGACATGAGGAGCAAATACTTCTGGAATGGGAAATGGGTTCAATATATATGGCTATAGTATAGGGTAAAGATGCAATCATTGGACAGACTGCTAGGCTGGGGATCAACAGGAACCTTAGATTAATATGAGCATATATTGCTAATGTGGATTATTATTATTTTTTATTTGTGGTATTTGTATACCACCCTTTTCAACCCCAAAGGGAACTCTGGGCTGTTCATAGTTTGTTTATTTATTTACTATATTTATATCCCACCTTTCTAGATTCCAAGGGGGATTCAAGGTAGCTTACAGCACAGGCAATAATTCAATGCCTTAAAAACAATATACATTCAATATACAATTAAATAAATATTTCAATTAATAATTTAAACAAGATTAAGAGCATTAAAACATTGCAATTACAACTATAAAACCACATCATCCACACTGTGTTGGTAACAAGTCAATGCCATTGATAAAACCAGTATAAAACATCAAAATTGACCCTCCCCTGATAAAACATCAAACATTACTAAAAATATTATACAAAATAATCTCTGTGGCCTGTATTCTGGCAGGCACACCATATTCCAAGATCCCCTGATACCCTTCTGGGGAGCAGGATGTTACAATGCCTACTTTGGCCCCAAAATGAATCTCACCCTGCAAGTCCAAGGCCATAAAAATCAATTTGTAGGGAACCTACAAAAGGCACTGAATTAAGAATGAAACCTTCAGCAACTGCCATGTACTCAATAAAAGTCTCAGAGCCAAAAACCTTATTATTCATGTTCCATTGCAAGTTGATGACATCAGTACTTCTACCTATGCTCCCAATTTATTGATGGTGGCAATCTTCCTCATCCAGTGCAGATGGTCTGTAATTGTTTTTCAAATACAATTTACCTTATGTTATCTGTGAATAAGTTTAGTGATATGTTCCATAATACATGTAGTTATATTAGTTATATGAACTAATTGATCACAAATTTGTAGCTCAGGATACTTTTTTGAAAATGTCAGGAGCGACTTGAGAAACTGCAAATTGCCTCTGGTGTGAAAGAATTTGCCATCTTTAATTACGTTGCCCAGGGGACACTCAAATGATTGATGTTTTACCATCCTCATAGGAGGCTCCTCTCATGTTCCTGCATGGGGAGCTGGAGCTGACAGAGGGAGCTCAACCCACTATCCCCAGATTTGAACCGCTGACCTGTTGACACAAGGGTTTAACTCATTGTGCAACTGGGGGCTCCAGCTCAGGATACAATATCATCCTATATATAAATCACACAACTTGCATAGCTGATCTTATTGCTCTGATTACAAAAAAATCAGATTACTGAATAATGGAAAATTTGCTGCGGTATGATTTCCTTTTATTACATCAATATAAAAACAAGAATCATTCTGTGGTTCACAATCACATTTGAAAAATAAAACCAATAACCCTATTAAAGATTGTGTATAATCTAATAAAATAAAAAAATCAGCAACTGTCCACTTATAAATAGAACATAGTTCTATTTATCTCTCGTCCCCTGGCAGGGACGAGAGACAGGGCCTTCTCAGCAGTGGCCCCCCGGCTGTGGAATGCCCTTCCTACTGACATTAAATCGGCCCCCTCCTTATTGGCATTCAGGAAGAGAGTGAAGACCTGGCTCTTCGAACAGGCTTTCAACTAAGCAGTGCAATTTATTGATTACTGAAATATGGATTAATGGACAACGAGATCGGATGCTGATTCTATTGATGAGACGTGATGGATTGTTGTTTTGCTGTATTGTTGCATTGATGTTTTTGATGTTAATTAATTGATATTACTGTTTTAAATGACTAATGATTTTGTACTGTGTTGCTGATACTGGTTGTTAACCGCTCTGAGTCGCCTGATGGCTGAGAAGAGCGGTATACAAGTAAAGTAAATAAATAAAATAAATAAATTTGCTCTGTTCTCCTATTCTAATAGTTTGTATTCAGTTTATATGCCATCTAGTTTAGAATGTGTTTATCTTCTGTCAATACTACTAAAATGCATTGCACACTGGCATTTTCTTCCATTTTTTGAGGTTGCCTCAAATAATATGCAACATAATTATATTTCACTTTCTTCTAGCTTTTTTAAAGCATTCATTGCTCAATCATATTTTGTAATGAACTAGCTGTGCCCTGCCACGCGTTGCTGTGGCCAGCCTTCCCTCCCTCTTTCTCTCCTTCTTTCTCTCTTTCCTTCCTTTCTTCTTTTTCTTTCCCTATTCCTTTCTTCCTTCTCTACCTGTTTCTTTCCTCCTGCTTCTCCTTCTCCTTCCTTTCCCCTCTCATTACTTCTTGACTGTCCCTTCCATTTAATAAGGAAAGGAAGGGGAAGGAAATGAAGAATGGGAAAGAAGGAGGAAAGGAAGGAGGGACAGGAAGGAAGGAAAAAAGGAGGGGGGAAAGAAGGGAAGGAAGGGGGAAAAAGGAGGGACATGAAGGGAGGGAGGAGAAGGAAGGTGGAAGGAAGGAGGGGGATGAAGAAAGGAGGGAGGGAAGGAAATAAGGGTGGAAGGAAATAAAAGGGAAAGAAGGAGGAAAGGGAGGGAGGAAAAGAAGGAAATGAAGAAGGAAGGAGGGACAGGAAGGAAGGAAAAAGCGAGGGAGGGAAAGAAGGGAAGGAAGGGAAAAAGGAGGGACAGGAAGGGAGGGAGGAAGGAGGGAAAGAAAGGAGGGGGGTGAAGAAAGGAGGGAGGGAAGGAAATGAAGGGGAAGGAAATGAAGAAGGGGAAAGGAGGAAAAGGAGGGAGGAAAAGAAGGAAAGGAAGAAGGAAGGAGGGACAGGAAGAAAGGAAAAGGGGAGGGAGGGAGGAGATCTAAGGAAGGAGTTAGGAAGGAGGGGA